GTTACAGTTGTAGTGGTTGTTGTCACAGACAGTGAACGAGGAGGGAGAGAAAGAGAGTTATTTGAAATGCCGGATGTGATCTTTTCTCCCTCTCTTTCTTTCACAAGATAGCAATATAAAATAGAGAAGACCGAAAAGCACTGGGGTCATTCAGTCGCAGTTACTGCTTGGAAATGATTCTGACTTGGTGTGGTTACGCTTCTGTCAGCTTCTTCATTTCGGTACTGACGTTATTATTCAGTTGCCAACTAGTGGATGGACAGGATCTCAGCAGGTTGCTTCTTTCATCTCACTGAAACAATTCTTTTCTGATTCTATTTGCTACAATTGATTTGTCTTTTTTTTCAAATGAAATAAAATTCTAATTGCCCAAAGTAATGCGTATTCTTATTAGTTCACAGAATCTTTCATTTGCAGCATATTCTTGTGCTGATTTCACACCGAAAATTCTACTCTTTCCCATAAATTGTCATTGCAGCACTTCATTTCTGCTCCAATAATCATTGCATTATAATTAAGCTAAGCGATTGAATAACATTCTGATGCAAATTACAACAAAGCTGAATTCAAATAGTTCTCTCACTTCAGAATGAAAGCGTCTTTTTCTTCATTTCGGATGCATAAGAAAGACCAAAAACTCAAAGACTGCAATTCAGCAGCTGACTTTTGCTGCACTTTCAGAAGAAGGAACTGTGTGCCTGAAATTTTAGACGTAACTGTTTGAAAAAACAGAAGAAATTCAATCACAAAATGTTTTATCTTATCAATAAGCAGTCGAGCTTATTTAGACATGCTAACTAGTTCTTAGATACTCTAATGTATTAGATGTACTGAAATATCGAGAAATTAATCTCCATAACACATAATTAATGCGTGACAGATGTTCCAGACATGATTTCAGTTTTAAGTTTTCATAGTCTGTTGACTCATCCCAGTTTCATTTCTGATTCTCTTTTTTGCAACTTTTAAAAAATATTCAAACTTCAACTTCGGAGATACATTGTTAAATCAGTTTTTGCTAAATTGCTTGTCAGAAAGACTTATTTTCATCAGAATTTTGAACAAAAAAATTGAATGATAAAAATAAATTTGGTTTTCATCACGTGAAAGGAAAATAATTACATCACTATGCGTATTGAATTAAAAGATATAGTATGTTGCGTTTAAATTACAACATATATTTGTTCATATTACTTTGAGAACAGTGAATTTGTAGCTGCAAAAATAAATAAGAGAATAAGCATAATAAGTACTTAAATTCCCTGTTATTTCAGAATAGTTCTACGTAAACAGGATTCCATAAGAGCGCAGCTTGTGAAAACAAGTTCCTGGAAGGCTTATCGACAACTGCTTTCTAACCAGCAACAACAAAAACTGCTTCATTACAAAAAAGAAGTTCCAGAAACTTATCCCATTTCTGGGGCTGAAGAAGTGCTAAAAAATTATATGGATGTTGGTGGTTTTCATGCATCTAATTATTATAAACTATTTTTATAGTCTTAATTCACACTTCAGTGTTCAAATATTTCTTGATATTTTACAGGATCGATTTTTAGCTGCTGGTTACAGTTGGTAACTGTTTTAAGTAAATACATTCAAATTCTAAACAAACAGTAATATAATATTCTAACTTCTGTTATTTTTGCAAGTGTTTGAAACTCACAAAGAACTGAAATTTTTGTAAATTATTAGCTTAGAGTTCATTTCTAAATATGATAAAGCTATACTATTGTTTAAGCAATTTTTAGGCTCAATATTATGGCATAATTTCGATCGGTTCACCCGCGCAAAATTTCAGCGTAGTATTTGATACCGGTTCATCCAATCTTTGGGTGCCATCCGCAACATGCCCCTTGTTCAATATTGCATGCTGTGAGCAATACTAATTTTTGATAAAAATTTTCTGCTATTAACTGTAATGTCCATTATTTCATCAGTTATTTTCAGTGAAAAAAGTGAAAAATCCTATTTAACAGAATCATGGAACAGAGAAATTACTTTTTTTTGTTTTTTTTAAAGGTAATTTGCAAAAATAGTTTAAATAATCAAAAAGCGCAAGAAGTGTTTTTTCATTTCGCACCATTCACTGTCATTTCACTTACAATTTCCAGAAATCTTTCGTATTTCCAAAGCTGATTATGGAAGACTGTACCACGTAGTGAGCGAAAACTTTCGATCACTTT